AAACCAACGCAGTCCTAAATTATTTTTTCCCATCTTCCTCTCGATTACTTTTCTTTTCATCGTTTTATCTAATCTCTTCTTTTTTTTCTCGTGGTTTTCCGCTTTGTTCCGAGAAAAGTTTGAAAGTCTACAACTTTTGGAGTGTCCTCCTAACATTCAAAGCCTTAACTACGTCGGTAAACAGACAGAAAGTGTGGCCTATTGATTTTTTGAAGTACCAGTAAACTTCCATTTTCTATGGGTTTTGAATAATTGGGGAGCTCTTAATATCTCAGTTATTTAAAGTAATTTAAATCTCACGCTCCTTCCAAGTTGCACTGGATACATTGGAAATTTAAACCATTTTCATACGACTGCAATCGGGATAGATCCCGCCAAAAACGGTACTTTGTGGAAATGCGTATTCATTTGTAATCAGTAAACATTTAAAAAAACGGAACTCATTGATAAAACACCCGACATAGTGGAAGATTTTGAAGGGGGTAATACAATTTTCCGGGAAAACAGAATGGGGGATCAGTCGTCACAAACAAAATGTTAAGGGGGGATAAAGAAAATTGATTGGCAATTGAACTGGCTGTGAAAAATAAAGAGATCCCATACTGAACTCTAATGCAGCGTAAGTCTACATCAAAAGAAGAAATCTACACTTTGTTCCCTTTGGTCATTTGAAACATAGTTAATAGAGGGTCCCCTCTATTAACTATGTTTGAAATGACCTTTTCAAGCAAGTGACAAAGGCGAAATATCAAACTTGGAAGGAACGTATATCGGGGGTCGCGATGACATGAAACCTGTTGACTTCAAAAGACCAAGGAAAGGTTTCTACAGTTTATTTGAGGCTCCGTCTTGGTAGTTGGCATGTGAAATGACCATCTCAAGCATGTTACAGGCGAAATGACCCCGGGAAGGAACGCAAGCCGCCACCATTCCCCACCACACCCACCGCATAAAAACATGCAAAGAGTAATGTCATTTTGAACCAATCTGAAATGAAATTACCGCATTTACTCGAATAAGCACCGCATTTGAGACAAAAAATTGTTAAGCACTGCCTTCCAATAATATGTTAGGATATATTCTAATTGCTGGATAAATTGTCAGAATTTATTGCCTTTTTTCGAGAATTTCCACATTCAGTGAAAAATGCATGGAAAAAGGGGTTAATATTGGATATGTCAAGTTTGGATGTATTGCACATGCAGAGTACGAGCTGTGAAATTGTTTTGATTTTCGAATGCACTCAAAACCA